CACACACATGCGCATGCACGCACCCACGCATGCACACACATACACACACCCAACAAAGACAACCAAATCAACACAAGCCCTGCTAAAGCATTAATCCAAAGCATTCCTGAAATGAAAACATTTATCAGGACAAGAAAGTTTCATTGCCCTTTGCTATCCATGCTATTCAATAGAAATGTTGCCGGAGTCACAACTACTAGCCACAGATGTCATTTTAAATTTTCTAGTAGCAGCATTTAAACAGTAAAGTGAAACAGATGAGTTCTGTTCTAATAATTTATTTTATTTCACTGGATATACTCAAAATGTCAGGTCAAACTATAATCAATACAAGAACAATGAGTGAGATTTTTGCATTGCTTTCTAAGTCTTTGAAATCCAATGCATGTCACATTTGACACTTCCAGCTCGAGGCAGATAGAGCAGCTACATCCAGTACTCAGTAGCTCTGTGTGGCCAGCAGCTACGAGGGTGGAAGTAGGCCTATTATGTGCCCCCAGCACATTTCTGCGGGCATCCACCTGGGTTGTAGCTTGGGCTTGGTCACCACACGTGTCCAACAGTGCACAGAGTTCCAGTTGCAAGAGGCTCCGCTGGGGGCTGGAGAGATGGCTCAGTGGCCTAAAGCACCTACTTGGAACAAGCTTGGCAAAGCACAAAGACCACGGTTCGATCCCCCAGCACCACATGCCAGCCAGCCCCACCCCCACATGGGCTGAGCTGGCCACCCACACACATACAATAAATAAATGTAAAATAAATAAATAAATAAATAAAATAAAAATTTTTAAAAAAGAGGCTCCGCTGGTGTGGATGCGTTCTGTCTGCAGTAGGGACTCCTCCGCCACAATGACATGGACTGCATAAGGTCAGGAATTCTGGAGTGGCCCTGGTGGCCAGGTCCAAAGGTGCCTCTAGAAAAGGTTGCTTTGAGAGCCTAGAGAATTGAGCAGTGAGTTTAAAGTCATTCTAAAAGAAGCAGAAACAGGGCTGCTATATACCTGGTCCCTCACGGTGAGCGACTTCTCATTCTCAGTCTGGTGCAGAAGCAGTCTAGAACTCTGGGTTCACATCCACACAGCAAGAAAACAAAAGAGCTGACCAGTCTGAAAATTAATCGCTCTTCTCAGACGTATGAGGTCACCGCACAAATCTCTGCCCCCAAACTGAAACGGGAAAGGTGGATGGGAAGATTCACAGTACCTAAAACAGAAGCCCATGGTGAAACTCTCAAGAACAAATCCCAGGAGAGGAAAGCAAAAGTGGTAAAGGACAGTTCTGGAGGCCCTGTGTGGACCTGTCTGAGAGTTGAGTTCCAGGAACCAGTCCTGGAGGTCTCCACACTTTGCAGGGTTTTGCCTCCTGGATCCTTCCCAGTTCTCACAATAAAGGTCAGGAAAAAATTACTAAACAGAGTCTGATTAACCAGAGATTTGTTGTGCCCAATTAATCTTCTCTGTGCTTCACTGATAGAATTAGGGTACCAGCCTTAACCTATTATAATTGTCATCCACTGTTGCTCAGCAAGGAGACACATGGCCCTCTGGGTCAAGGTGAACTTCCAGCCCCAACCAGTCCCAACATTCCCAGCTGAGAAGCTTGGGGGGGCGGCGCAGCTGCCCCCAAAGCCTATGTGCTCCCCTATCCCATCATGCTGGCTCCCTGTGCCGCCTCCTTGCTAGTGCCCATAGTGCTGCGTGGCCTTCTCCCACAAGGATAGAGGCCAACCTGTGGATGAAACATAGCTGCAATTCCTTTGGGCAGGCATGGAGCCCTTGCCCTGCAGGGTAAGCAGCTGCTGTGCTGTGAGAGTGTGCAAGCCACTTCACAGAGGAGGCCTGGCCTGCTGGTGACAGCACCAATTTCCTCGGTGTGCAAGGCACCACCTTGGAGGCTCAGCAAGCTTCCAGAAGACAAGGACCTGACCAGTTTTTTTTTTTTTTTTTTTTTTTTTTTTTTTTTTTTTTTTTTTTTTTTTTTTTTTGTTCAACCACAGATTGAACAGACACCTTTACGCTGAGCTACATCTGCAGGTCTTTTTTATTTTCTATTTTGAGATAGGGTTTTGCTAAGCATCTAAGTTGTCCAAAGTGCACTCAAATTTGCCCTACCTCTGCTTCAGACTCCGAAAGTGGTGGGATTACGAGCATGCGCCACTGTGCCCAGCCCTGGATAGCTTGTTGATCAACCTCGTGAGAAAGCCTGAATGACACTCGCCTAGAAAAGGCTTTTCTGAACCCCTGACCCACAGGAACTGTAAAATAAGTGTTTAAGAATTTTAGAGTCATTTGTCTCAAAGCAGTATACTGACAAGTGACCTAACAACACTTCTCTTTTTCTAAGTCCCAATGGGAGCATATTCTGACAAGAGTATTTTCTCCCCCATGCTTTGGCTTGAACACATTTCCTGTGGTGTCAGAGTCAGACATATCTTTTCCTGAATTGGTGTTTAAAAAATATGAGTTCTAAATGACAGTGGCTGTAGGAGAAAAAGCCAAAAGTTTCCAGCCTGTTTGGAGTAGGCTGGAAACACCGCATTTATTTTAGTGTTTAGGTTTTGCTCTGGAAGGGGTAAGAAGTGTTTACATAGAGGATTTACTCTGCATCTCTCTCTCTCTCTCTCTCTCTCTCTCTCTCTCTCTCTCTCTCTTCAGGTCTCTGCATTCTGCAGTGATACAAAAGTACAGCCCTTTTCAGAGACAGAGCTGTCTTTATGGCGTCATGTGAAATCCGAGGGTCTCAGTGAGCAGGCAGGAAGCAGGAAGAATCTGAGAAGGATGCGGAAGCAGCAGGATGTGACATCCAGTGGATGGGAAAAGGAAGGCACTGCTGAGAAGACAGAAGTGGTCTGAGCTCCCCAGTCATTGCCAAGTGTGGACAAAGCCCCGGGGCTTCAGAGACCCTCATGTGGACGGGCTGCTTTTCCATTGTGAGGATTCTCCCTCCCGCTCAGCCTTGTCTACCTGCTTTCAGAACCAGCCCCTGTGCCTGGGGAGGGGGATGTCCAGAGACTCCTCTTTTGTGTCCCCATGACTGGATCCTGCTTCCTTGCATGTAGATGCTGTGACCAAAGGGTGCAGTGAGTTTAAAAATTTTAAATACTTATTATAGTGAGATACACATTACCATGAATCCCCCCTCAAAGTAATCCCCCTCAATTCGAACACACTCATCCACCAGCTGTGGGCTGTGAATGTAGTGTAGGCCCTAAGTTGAATTCCTAGTACATAATTAAAAACATTGTGTCCTTTGCTTCCTGGATACATATTTACTTGTTTCCATTCATTTATGCAAATATTTATATGTATACACATATAGATGAATAGATATATAATTGGCTAAATGCCTGTTTCAGCTCAAAGGGCCAGGCAGGAAGGCCAGGAGGCTTCCTACTCTTCGAGGCCCAGCCCCTTCCTACACCCTCATAACCACACGCAGCAAACCCTCCCTGGGCCTCTCCAAGTCGGCATCTCACTTTTATTTATACGCATCTTTTATTTCTGTCTGTATGTCTGCCAGTCTGTAAGCTTCACTGGGGCAGGAACCTCTTCTAGTTTTTCTTACTGAACAGTTACAAAAGGAAGAAAATAAAATTTAAAGGGGACCTGGCTGACTCAGCAATCCATTAGAACTGAAGTTCTAAAGGGATTTAAATCCCCGATGTCTCATTCCTTATATTCAGCTAAGATCTGTGTGTACGTGTAGGGAGTGCAATCCCTGGCACATTTGTGGAAGGATTCCAAAAGAAGCAAGAGGATCACAAGTTCAAGTCATACCTGGGCAATCTAACAGACTCTAGTCTCAAAGGAAAAGATAAAGAGAGCTGGACTTGGTGGCGCAGACCTCTAATGCCAGCACTCTGAAAGGCTGAGGCAGGCAGGAAGGAGGATTGTAAATGCAAGCCCACGCTGGGCAGCCTGGTG